TGACATGACATGACATGATAAGGATTCTGGAATGACCTTGTTAATTGTCCAAGATTTCTGTATTTGTAATCATCTGGGTTTTATCCAATATGCATACATTATGTAACATCGAATTATAACTAAAAACAGCTGTTTATAACTTGTGAAAAACAATGTCATTGTCACGCCCATATGGTCATTTTCCCCCCTCCCATCCTGCTATGAAAATGGGTTATAAATATAACTGACGTATGAATACAATTTGAATTGGTTATTGAACACGTCTCTGCTATTCATTTCCAATTTCCAGAGCTCTGTATGAGTTGGCAAATATCCATCATCCACAAAGGGCCCAGGCTGATTTTATCCCCAACAAATTGGTGTCAGAAGTGGGAGCAATTGGGAACGGATTAGCAGGTAAGAGGGTCTTTAGCCCCTTGGGGACACAACTTCTGGAATTTAAGGGTATCATGACGGAGTATTTCTGTCGTGTGTCCTTAAGGGGTTGGGGACCTTTGCCTGCTTCTGCCATCCTCCCACACATTGCATTTCTTGTTTTAATGGGGTTTTTCACTATTTACATTTTTAAAGGGGATTTTCACAGGATAATGTCTTTGGTAGACATGGTATTTTGTTAAGTCTTAGGTAGACTTCTATTACTCCACGGGTTGGAGGATTGCCTTTGGTAGGTAGTAGTAGTTATTGTGCACATTTCCTCTTTGGTAAGAGGTTTACCTTTGGCCAGGTGTTAAAAATAATTTCAAGCCTTTGGTAGGCTGTGATGTACCTGTGATGTACATTTACATATGGGAGACGTCCCTAGATCCCTCTTTGGTAGAGGTTGCCTTTGGTAGGTTATAAAACAGATTTCTAGTCTTTGGTGGACTGTGGTATTTATTTAACGTAGATGTCAATTTTGCAGACTACAATGGTTTAAAAAAAAAAAAAAGGAAAAAAAGGGGGGTTAAAAGGTATGATGGATGTTTGGCATTACTCCGGCTTGCTAATTTATGTGCTATTTATGATGTGCAACGCTGATTTTAAGCATAAAGTCTTAATTGAGGGAATGTAAAAAGTACATGTAAAGGTGATGATGAATAAGAAAAAACTAGAGGTTATTTAAGGGGGGCTAAAAATTCTAGAACTAACATGATTTCTCTGCATGTATGTTTGTTTGCATAATGAGCCCTTATTTTTATACTTGGTCAAAAGTACTATAAGCCCACTACACTTTTTCATGAGAGTGGGATGTATGATTGTTTATATGATGAGCCCTTTATTTTCATATTGGGACAAAAAGTCACTTCATTCAAAACGTCAAACACCACATTCTTTCTGCCCTGAGTGTTTGTTGCAGAGAACTTATGTTGTAAATTTAGATGATTATGAATTAGAGAGCAAAATGTATATTTTCAGCGTTCCAACACATGCTTCATATTGTGCTGTAAGCTAACTTGTAGTATTCTAGTACGTCACATGTTGTATGTGCTTTAAATTGTATGTATTCTGTAAATTGTTGTATGGGAATGCTGAGATTTTATTGCTTGCGACCCAAACTGTGAAGAAGTGGGTTTGAAATTTTGGTCATGGAATGTAGGATCAGAAAACCATGGACAAAGGTTTTTACCTGTGTTGATATGACTTTTGGAAACTCAAATTGACCGGTCAAAGTTTTGCCATGCCTTTAACATGGAGTAGTATAAATATTTTGAGTCTTTGAGAGTTCTGACAAATGCAGGTGATACCATGTCTGTGTAATCTGGTCCAAATGTTCTATAAGCGTATAAGAGAGAAATTCTATTGACAGGGTACATATGTTGCAACTGGTTAATGCAAGTGTTATACAAATGTTTAAGTCAAACGCGTTATATGGCCGTACGGGATCCCTTCTGTAAAAAAATAAAAAATAAACCCTTTGGTACCAGAAATCTTAAATAAATCCAATACAAACTAAAATTGGTATACCTTACAATAATATGTTCTGAATACAGCTGTTAGAAGTTTATTCTGTGTGAATGATGATTGTCATAAATGTTTGTTTTGGTTACTCATTTTGAAGTGCGCAGTTTAATTGTCATGTATGTTAATGGGTATTTTACTGTGTTATTTTAAATTATATTTGAATAAGTTTGAGTATCAGTATTGATACAAATGGAAATGGCAGCGTCATAATCTATTAAATAACTGATTTATTAGAGAATACTAGTCCAAGAGCAATATGAGTTGTAGTCTTAAGAAAGAAAAAAAGGAGGGAGTCTGTTTTTGTAAATTTTAGCTGATTTCCAAAATTCTGTTGCAATAATGGACTTCCTGCCAAAATTTGACTTTCCTGTCCAGTTGCCAGGTGCTCTGATCTAATCTTAAAGCAGTACTGCTTGCATAGTTTGCAGACATGCATAATGCACAAATATGAGAACCAAATTATGTCCGTCACATAGTGTGACATTTATTAATTTATTTTGGATTGAGTTAATTGCCTGTCCATGAATATGCTTTTTGTATTGGCATGTCTGCTGGATATCTGCTACATGTTTTCTGTGCTATAAGATGATGTGTGATATTACAATGAGTATGAAGAATATTTAAAGAATATTTGCATGTCATTAACGCAAGCCTTTAGTGTCTTTTTACAACAGATTAAAAAAACGCTGATCAGCCAACAAGAAAGGGGCCCCTGGGAAAGAAAAAGAAAAATATATAATTTGCTTTTCAAAATCGTGGATCCACGTTTCAGTATTATTAGGGGAGTATTTAGAGTTAACGCTACTTTTAAAGTGCATTGCATTATTTAAGAAAAGAAAAATGTGTTGTTATATGGTTATATAACAAGAAAAATTATGGATGTATAGGATAGGTTTTTTCCAAGATTAAGATTCATCTAGTATGCCTCATTGATTATAGGAAAATGATGAAATGGTATTTTTAATAGAGATCAGATAATTTCTTTTGAGGCAATTCTAAACTACTGTATTATATTTGTATTGGTATATTGAAAGCATTTTGCAGACCCAGAAGAGAATAAATAATATAATAATTATAAAAGGAACCATACTATGGGAAGAGGTCACTCTATTAAATTGCTAAGGGGTTAAACTCATTTTTGATAAGCATATGAAATTTAGTTTTTGTGGTTAGAATTTTTGATACTCAATTTGAACTCAATTGAAGTATTACAACCATATCCTTGCAGGTATAGGAAACAGCAATATGCAATATGATTTTAATATTTGCAATATATTAGTGTTCTGACAATGGAAAAGTTCCTAACCGCATGTCTGTATTACACCTATGACACAGACTGTCAGTATTGCAAACCCCATATGAAGACTCTGCTTTCACTGTTTATGTATACACCCCTAGACAACCGTGCTATACATGCACAATAAATCTTCAAAAGCCTATTAATATTATATCTGTGTGGTACACAAATAGGTGTACACAAAGAGGGGGTGTGAGTTAAGTCATCTCGACCTTCATATGGAATATGCTTCCTCCTTGTTCACTTTTGGTCAAACTGTTGGTCTGTGACTGGCCCTCTTTGAACTGAATTTCTTGGGAAGATTCATGAGAAAGATACAGCAGGTTGTTTTGGATATAAAGAAAGAGGGAAAAGTATGTTGTATCGGTCACAAAAGGATTGTGATCTTAAGCAGGCGAGACAAAGAAAGTTTGGAGGTGATAGATTGAATCAGAAAAGTTTTAGAGGCAGAGGTAGAGAATTTGATCAAAGGATTTAACTTTTGTAGAGATGGTAACTTCAGTACTGTTTTAATTATGGATAGCAGGGATTCACCCAAAGGTGCTTGTGGTGAACCCGGTTCTCCTGGTCAACCTGGCCCAGCTGGCATTCAAGGACTCCCACCCTGGCAGGTTCCTCAATACCAACCACAACTTTCAAGCTATACCCACACCCAACAACCTCAGCCTAATACACAGATGGTTCATGTTTTTAATACTTTATATATAGTTTTGATAGATAAAACAGTATTAATGCTGGCTCTTAGAGGATGTACAAGCTGAAGTTGGGACCTAGACATTGTTTGCATAGGCTGTGCAATGTGAAATAACTAAAATAAAATAGGATAATAAGTATGCTTAGTCAATTTGTAAAGTGGTATAATAGAGGCATCTGCAATAAATTAAGTGGGTTTCCAAGACCTGACAAGTGAGAGCAACTTAATATAACATATGCCTACAGTTTGCTGTCCCTTCCTTATCAGAGGCCACTTGCAACACAGCAAGACAACTCTTCCGAAACCTGTATTAAACAAAGCACTTTAGAACAATAGTAATTTATTTTGTTTCTCCTATTTCATTCCTAGTTGTTCTGAAAAAAAAAATATTGTTTAAGTGGGATAACTGTATGGAGGTTCCAACATGTATTAAAACATGATCACACACATCGGGATCTATAAAAGGTTTGGGTTTCCAAAGATGTTATCAGGGTCCACAAAATTTTATTAAAGTAATTAATTGAGATTATCAAATCAAGGTTTAAGTTTAAGAACAGCATTTTATTGGGAATTATACCAATATGTATATGTTAGTGTTTTAGTACTCAACAAGCATTTATATAGAATGAGTGCTTCTCTCATCCATACAAGGCATTCTAAAGGGAAATTATGTATTAAAATTTTATAAAGGACATAAGCAAAACTGAGAGATGTACATGTTACACTAGTTAAGAGTTTAACTTTAGTCTCTAATTTGAGTTTAGCCTAGATAATTAATTTATTGATGTCGTACTGATCCTTGTGTTTGTATGATTATAGAGACCGTACTGGAGTATTTGTGCTGCCTGATATTTGGGACTACACACCAATCTCTCTGGCTGACCTACCTGCCTACTTACCTTTTTTGCAATTAAATCTCTTTGGTCAAAATCCATGCTGGCCGAAGAAACTGAGATGCTTACTTATGAGGACATAAACTAACTTGGAAAGTCCTGAAGATGCAGTGCTGTCTAATGCCGCTATTTCTGTATTACCCTTTCAACAATTGGGGTGTTGCACAGAGTATTGTGGTGAACATCCAGCAAACAGAAGAATTAAGAACTATGTGGAAGCTGACATTGTCTTGTTGTCAGCCATATTGCTACCCTTAGCTATGTTATGGTGTCTAAGATTATGGAACAAAGTTTATGGTGTCTAAGATTCTTTATACTCCTTGAAAGACTTATAATATTTTTCTGGACTATGCTGGACTATTGAACTATTTTGTTATTTTTATTTTTATTTTTGTAGAGTTAGCCGGAGAGAGAGGAAGTGTTAGCTTACTCAGGCATGGATGTACTATGTGTGTCATTGATGTATGTTGAGTGTACCAAGGATGGATTCCAATGTATTAAGTGTGGATATGACTGGACTATCGAAATAGGGATTTGATTAGGAGGCATAGGACGCAAGGTCATGATTGGGATTATTGCTAGAATTGCAAACTGATTAGAAATGATCTTATGATTTAATATGTAAGTGGCCTTTTCAAACTAATCAAGAAGTGTTTCCCAATCCCGATACCTGAGCTATTTACTTACATAGTGCAGGTTTTATAAGTCACTAATGCTGTCAACGTGAGGGGATGACATGTCTACACAGTCATGGCCCTCACTTAGAATTTACCCAGATGTGCTTTTTTTCTCAATTATGAGTTTTTGCCACTGGGATTTTTGACCTGGCCCAAGTTCACTGGGTGGACTGGTAATCCAAGACCCTGGTCCAAAGAGGGGAAATAGATTTTATTCCCATTTTTTATTATATGTGTTTACGTTGTAAATTATAGTAATAATATTCCCGTTGTTGGGAATAATACACTTTGCCTGTTTTGATCCAAGGCTCAAGTTGCAGATAACATGATGTGCAGTTAAGATGTCAGCTGTTTGAAATATTTAACTTGTACACTTAAAGATGTGTACAACAGATGATTACAGAAGCTGAAAATCGACAGCTCGATCTCCTCTTAAAGGGAAAACCTACGGCATAGAGCAAATGGGGGAAATCGAGGTGAAGAAATAAGGAAAGTCCCGCAGACGTGATTAGCACGTCTGAATATACCTCCTTTCGTTTCTCTGCCGCAGGCCTCCCATGGATATTCCATAAGGTAGATCATGATATGATCTAAGAGGGGAATTGTAGATGCGAATATCCATTTTGCTCTATATCCTAACTGTTCATGTAAGGGTTAATTTGAATCAAGAATAAATTTGGAATTGTATCTCCAATTCTCAGAAATGTTATTGAAACATGATTTTGTTATGTTCCTGGAAAAAAGATATTTGCATGACATGACATGACATGACATGACATGACATGATAAGGATTCTGGAATGACCTTGTTAATTGTCCAAGATTTCTGTATTTGTAATCATCTGGGTTTTATCCAATATGCATACATTATGTAACATCGAATTATAACTAAAAACAGCTGTTTATAACTTGTGAAAAACAATGTCATTGTCACGCCCATATGGTCATTTTTCCCCCTCCCATCCTGCTATGAAAATGGGTTATAAATATAACTTGACGTATGAATACAATTTGAATTGGTTATTGAACACGTCTCTGCTATTCATTTCCAATTTCCAGAGCTCTGTATGAGTTGGCAAATATCCATCATCCACAAAGGGCCCAGGCTGATTTTATCCCCAACAGTGTGAACGTGGGGTGAGGGGTGGGAGTGGAGGTGGTGGGATCTGGTTCGACGGGACATAAGTCCGCCATGTGGGATGTAGAATTACAGATGGCACAAGCCGGGGGCCTGAGTCCAGCGAAGTGGCGACAGAAAAGTTCCGTGTCCATCTGACCCCAGTTCATTCTAATGTTGAACTGCTTGAGATGGGTCACCGCCTTCGCTGAAACTGACTTGTGGTAGTCATAGAAGGAAGAGCCCCCGTACTTGATGCCTAGATCCACTACCTTGTGGAGATAGAGATCTAGCTCTTCTCTCCTATGGGGATACACCGTGCAAATGACTTCGCGGTATATCCCAAAAGCTATCACAAACTGTGGGATAGGCAATTTTTTATTAAGCCTGGGATCCCTCGTTTTGAGCACAACTGAAATGTCACCATAATTGTATGCCTTGTTCTCGAGTACATCCTGAGAGGCTATGATTAAAGACACCAGACACACATCCTTCCCGTCTAGGATATCTTTCCTGATAGAATCTGGGACGGAGTGTGCTGGTGACTCGAAAGGTGTGATGGCTGTGCCAGGTGCTGGAGGGGGGAGTATAGAGGGACATGTAGGTATGGCAGGTACAGCCGTGGTAGAGACTGGGACTACGGTGTTAGTACCTGAGGAGGAGATGGCGCTCTCCACCTTAGACAGCCTGCTATTGAGGGTCTGTAGATTGGCCAAGATATCTGCCAGGGTATCCTGGGTGGCCGTGCTGTTTCTTGGTGGTTGTCCTTGAGAGCTAGTTCCCGGCCGAGGCTCGGGGACTTGGTGGGTAAGCAGCCTGTAAAGTTCTGCCTTTCTAGCTGTGGCCTGGAAAGGGGATTCCCCTGAGCCTAAGCTCGGCCGTGATTTTGGGAATAGTCCATGCTCTCAAGGACGTGGGGGTTGAAAGAGTAAGTGATTCGCCTGGAGACACGGGTCTGATTGGCGTGAATGGTGTTTCTTCTATCGGTTCTTCGGTTGGAATTGGTTCTTGGGACATTCTAAAAAGGAATGATTATGTGAAAGATATATTAGAAGGGGAGTGAGGTAAGAAGGGGGGGGGGTATGGGGAGTGGTGTGTCTGGAAGAACTGGACTTTAATGCTAGATGCCGAGGCGAAAAACTTAACTATTGAATGACTGGATAGGTGAGGCCCTGCTAATGCCAAGTGGCGGTGAGAGGCTCTACCTATGATTTGGCTTATGACGTAGGTGCCACAGACGTGGTGGCGGGATGTTGGCCTCTCGGTGACGATAAGAGAAATCAAAACGTGTGGCCGTGACAGGTGAGGCCCTAACTAGAGCCCTGTAGTAAGGCATGCGAGGCTTATAACTATGATTTGGGCGTGGGGCCGTACCTCTGTGTTGAGGTGGGGTGGGGGTGGTAGGCCTCGTGGGATCAGATTTCCTGATAGGGTGGGCTAAGGCATTAGCCTGTGCCGTATAGCCAGTTCGATTGTATGCTTAAGGGTAAAGTTAGAGGACTGGAGTGGTGTGCGGATACTAACCTTGACTGGTCGCAAATGGTATCTGGAGCCTCCTGATAAGTGTAGAGAGTCTTGTCTTAATGTTGTCTTTGAGGAAGAATCCTGGGGGTTTAAGACAGATGTTGATGTGTTTATACGTATCGTGATGTCGTATGAATAGTATTGGGAGAAGGTTTGTTAGGGGCACCACGTGAGATCCTGCATTGAGGGATCTGGGAGGTTAAGGTGTAGGAATGGGATGATTTTGGATATGAGTGAGAAGGCAGAATGAGGCCTTGGGGTAGCGAATGGACGTACTTGAGTAAGGACGTAAGTACCTGAAGGTATGGCTGAGTACCGGGTCAGGTTTTTGGTGTCTTCTGAGCCTGATGGCCGTATGACCGAAAGTCTGTGTAGACAAGTAGTAAAGAGATAACGTATCCTGGGCGTAAGCCTGAGGGAAGGTAGTAATGGAGTTGAGACCGCGTGAGGTCTAGTATTGAAAAGAGAGTGAACTATACCTTGGTTTTAAGTACAGAGATTGTTTAATCGTGGCAGGTTAACTGCGTAGAAACGGTGGAAGCTTAGATAAATACAGGATCTAAGGGTTTAACCAAGACAAATTCCATATTTAGCAATAGATGTGAAGATAATTGATAAAACCTGATAACTCAAGGTGATAATAAACCATACCTGTTCCTGTAATAAAAGGACCTTGAAATAACAACTTTATGCAGAAAAGCAAGAGACCGATGCAATCTGTAAAAGCCAAAATGTGACAGCGTGATTTATGTGCAAGGAATAGTACGGATTATGTGTAATGGGTATAACTTGTAAATAGTGTTTAAATGACTTATCTGAGTGTTATTTGGAAAGAATGGTATAGCTTGTATTTAGACACGTATGAAGTTATGAACCATGGTAAAACATTATGTTTATTACAGAAAAATACTTTAAATGGTTTAACAAGGTAGGAAAACACAGGGCTGGTAGTTAACCAGATAATGTAACCAAAAACTGATATGAAGGAATAAATAATAGTAGGATAGTGTGATTAGAACTTATGCATGCTTAGCTTAAAAGAATAGAAATAACCGAATGTAAATTAGTAAGATGGTGTTCGTGAATTTTACCATACGAATAGTTTGGTGCTGAAATGACCGAACAGAAAAAGTGAATACAGATAATAATGAGCTTAAACATGAAATATATATTCGGTTGTTTCCGTACGAAAATGCTTTAAATGATAGCGAAATGAGCCGAACGTTCGTGCGTTTTTTGGCGCGAATGGAGATATTAACGAAAAGCGTGTATTCGTGAAAATGCGAAAGAGGGAGCCTACCCCTACGTTTTTAGGCCCGAACGGCGGGGAAATAGCGAACGCTAATTCCCACGCCTTGCTTACGTGAACGCGCCGGTCTCGTGACCGGAAGTCGGGTACCTCGACCGGAGAGAAACGGAGTGGAAGGACCTCGGACGGATGGAGGATTGCACAGGGCGTCTGGCTGCTGGAAACAGGTACAGTTCTGGCGGGAAGTGCTGGTTGCTAAGGACAATCAGCTGAGCGGCAGCGGTGAGTAGGGGCTGGGAGTTTAAGTAGGGGACTTACTCCTCCCACAAATTCAGGCCTAATGGCCTTTCTACATATATATATATATATATATATATATATACACACTGCTGTGTGTGTGTGTGTGTGTGAGAGGGTGCTGGTAGTGTGCTATGTGGGTGAGGGTGTTTTTGTATGTGTTTGTGAGAGTGCTGTTAGTGTGCTGTGTGTGAGGGAACTGGTAGTGTGCTGTGTGTGTGTGTGTGAGAGGGTGTTTGTGTGTGCGTGTTTGTTCGGGTCCTGTTAGTGTGCTGTTTGTGTGCTGTGTGTGGGTGTTGTGTGTTTGTCAGGGTGCTGTTTGTGTGTGAGTGTGCTGTTTGTGTGTGGGTGCTGTGCGGGTGTTGTGTGTTGGTTTTGTGTGTTTGTGAGGATGCTGTTAGTGTTCTGGGTGTGTGTGGGTGTTGTATGTGTGTGGGTGCTGTGTGTGCGAGGGTGATGTATGTGTGTGGGTGCTGTTTGTGGGCTGTGTGTGCTGTGTGTAGGTGCTGTGTGTCTGTGTGTGCTGTATGTTTGGGTGGAGGTGGGAGCAGATTAGTTAATATCCCAGTCCTGCTGCCTTCCCTGGTGGTTCAGTGGAGAGTGAACTCTAGCCTGTGTTCTCTGCTGCCTGCCTCCATGCTGCTGTGGACCGGTGAGGTAGAACTTTGATCTCCCCACCGGCCTATGGAGGCTTAGACCTGAGCCGCCGCTCGGATAGCGTCGGCTCTGCATGAGGCGATTGGGGAGATCTAGAGATCTCCCCTGCCGGTCTCAATTCCCTGCCGCGGGGATTATGGTGTGCCCAGGCACACCCGACACGCCCCGTGCGCATGCCTATGGAAGTGAGGGATGGGGGAGACAGCCTACATGAAGAGTCAGCAAGGAGCAGGAAGGTAAAGTAAGAAAAGCAGAAGGAACAGAAATGAGCAGGAAGGGACATAAATGAGCAGAAAGGGGCAACAAGGAGCTGGAAGGGACAGCAAGGAGCACAAAAGGTATAGTAGGAGAAGGAGCACAAAGGAACAGAAA